AAGAGCTTATTATCTTTTCAATTAGCTAAGGTATTGCTCATGTAATAAATCAAACACAGTGGCCCCCAGCCCACCTCTTTCCATTTTTTGAAATGATCCCTTATATACACTTACTTCTATATATGAATAACCAATCGAAAGCTCAGAATTTCCCCCTAGTGGTTTTTCTCAGCCATTTTGATGTGTTAGTGTGCTAGTTTCTTTCTTTTCATACAATATTTCAAATGATGAGGTAAGTCTTTAGTGAGCTCGAAATTTCATATTTGTTTTAGACCCAGATACAGCTTACTTACTATGCTTGATAAATTATGGTGGAATTCTATGGTATCAATATTGTAATTTATGATTTTTTGGTTATTTAAAATATATATATAAAACCTAAAAAAAATCTCTTTTTACATCCTCCAAGTGGGAAATTTCATAAGGAACAAAGGCCGTAACTAAAAGAGATAATTGTTTGCTTTACTTCTTTATTTAATGTTTTAAGAAATATAAATTTAAGAGCCTACTTGTAAATATAAATAATGTATATACATATATAATGTATAATAGTTAAAATGTGATTGTATTTTACAAAATACTAGTCCACTAAAACACAGCCAAGATAGGTCACCTTGTAAAGGTCAGTTATATATTATTTGATACCCTAAGATGAGTGCACGTGCACTGCATCATTGTAACTTCTGCATTGTTAGCCAGGTATGGCTGGAAGGCCAATATAATAAAAATAATAAATATATATATATGTATATATATAAATGTATAATGTTATGAGATTTAAGCTATTTAGACTAAAAATTTGTGCTTTTGTGTTATAATTTGTGGTCATTCTAGAACAAAAAAAGAATAATTTATATTTTTTCCTAATTCCTAACTTCTATATTGAACCAACCCATACAGAAATATATTAGTGAAAATAACAAATAGAATATAGTTTAAAAAATTTTTAAATTATCTGGAGATTATAAAGATTTCGCATGTGAAATTTGAAAATGTTCTAATTCATTAAAGTATTTTTAAACTTAAAATCAAAATTGCTTTACATGTTGAATAGTCGACATTCTGAAAGAAAAAGGCTTACAAGAAAATCTTTAATTAAAAAATCTTAATACTTAATTTTAAAACCTTATATTTTGTGTACAAAAACCTTCTAACGTTTACCACATATAACCTGCAAAGGCTAGTAAAGATGGACATACATTATCAAAAATCATAGCATAATTACTCTCGTGGATACTTTGTGGTTATGAACTGGGTGGAATCCACCCAACCCATAATGAAAGGGTTAATTGTGTATAAAACATCTTGGGACAGTGTATTTTTGTCCGTACTTAATGGGATACGAGAGTGTTCTAATTACTGAGGATTTTTCTTTTTCAAAATCTCCGGGTATTATTTACTAAAGTTTAAGAGGAGTAGTGATGAATTCAAATTCAGTGACGAGGAACCCACTTTGAGACTAATAATGGCTGGAGACAGCTTGAATGGGTAATGAAGAAAAACTGT